GCGGTCGGGCAAGACCATAACCCTCCCACCTCTTGTCAATTCTGTGCTGCAAATGATGCGCGACGCAGATCCATCGATGTGCTGCTGTACCCGTTGGCCCAACGCAGCCGGCTGGGGAGCTAGCTCCTGTTCCTTGCGAACGTGATACACAGGAACCCCGTCCATAGCGCTCGTGCGAAAAATCGCAACAAGCAGGAGGAAAAACAGCATCATTATCGCGTTTCTGCGTGCTGGACTGAGGTCCACAGCAGCACAGCAGCAGCGCGGGATGCAGGGTGCTGCGGAGCATTGCAACTCCCAGGCTTTCAATTTTCTGTATAGGGGACGTGCTGTTTCTGTCCCCGGTCGTTACTTTGTTTCTTTTCGAGCGGTCTAGTCGTACCGTCGAGCCGTCGTCGACGCAGGTATCCACAGCTCAATTCGGTTCGAAAGTTGTCGCATATAAGAGTTATCGTGCCTGCTAACATGCCCGATTCGGGGGTGTAGTCACGTAAGGGTTAACATCAGGAGAGAAACAACCTTAGCTTTGTGTTTCTACTGTCATCAGTAGAGGACACCATGAAGAGGCGTCGTGCGTGCTGGTATGTTCAGGTTTGCTACTGGAGCTGAAATACTGTTGTATCGAAGGTCGCAGCAGCCTCTTGAAAACGGTCCGAAATCCGCGCCGGAACCAAGAGGCATCCAACATTTGTCACCGCCGTGTTCACCGCCACGAACCGCAGACCCCTCGGTGTCAGCGTACACTGTAGCTAGTCGCATCAGCTACTGCTGTAAAGCCGCCGTCCCGGAGATTAGGGTCCGTGGCGGCGAGCACGGCTGTGACAACGTTGGATGCCGCTTGGTACCGGTGCAGATTTCAGACTGCTGGTAGAGGCTGCTGCGACCTTCGATATTTCAGCTCCATTACGACAGCAAACCTGAATGTGCCAGCACGCACGAACGACTTTCCCATGGGTGTCCTCTACTGATAACAAAAGAAACCCAAAGCTAACCCTCAAAATTAACCTTATTTGAGCGCCTGACGTTCGTGCTCATTTGACTTGAATTTAGAATAGAGTGAATTTTTGTCTTGATTTCAAAGGTGGCGTCAGAAGCTAGACGCGTGAAAAGTATGTTTTGAGCAGGCTCTACTGCCGCCCTTTGTGAGAATCAACGATTTCTGTTTTTCGCGATGCCTTCCGACTGGTCTTGTGTATCTCTTGTGCATTTCTGGTGCTCTTCAGTTTGTGTTCAAAAGTCAACATCACAATGATTTCAAGTATTCAAATTAAAGTTTCGGGACGGTCTATAACTCTTCTTGGGACACCGCCGTATAGTGTAAGTCGGGATCGTTGGCCCTCCCACTGTCACACCCACTCACCCACTCCAGATTGACATGTGTGCTACTACCTGTACCTATGGGGCTATTTTCTACTGAGATTGGGAAGTTGCTGTGAGGCTTCACCACAGCGCGCAGAGAAATCCACGGGTATTCACCGAAACCCAGCAGCAAGTTTCCTGTTGGCAGTCCTCGCCCCGGGCATCTTGGGTACACATTGGGAAGGAAGAACCATGGAAGAGAGAAGGAAGGCACGATAGACTTCCAAGAGGCTATGCATACCGCATTGCACACTGAAGCTAACCCAACTTCTCATGACTACCATGAGCTCTTCCGGTGCAGAGAGTAAAGTGAGGTGATTCCCACTGATGTATTCTGCACCGCAACGTGTAAGTTGAACTGATTCGCTGCGGGTAACCGATTCAGCGCAGTTTGCCTCCCTCTCCCCCCATGCCCCCGGCGCCTCCGTCCACCCCCTGCCCGTGCAGATATGAGAAAGCTGCTATATCCCACTGCAATCAACCCTTCGGCGGAGCTTTGTTCAGCGTCGCACAGAACGGATATCGGGTAGGGCGGCTGTGCTAATGGAAAGCGAGAGCGAGAGCGAGATGAGTGGGTTGTTGTGCGGCACTTCTGTGGCAATCGGAGTGGCAGGAACAATAGTCTTGAAGTCCGATGAGCGCCAATAGCTCGCATACCTTTCTCAGAATTTTGCTGATGATAAACGGTTGCAGGTCACCGTGAGTCAACGAAGCCCCCCAGAGATATCCGTATCGGTAGCTGACCCGGAGTGAAATCATGCTCTTCTTGTTAGCGAGTAGTAGACAGCTACTGTATCCACGAGACCATCGGCAGGACACAGCCGCTGTTCCAGAACGAAACGGCAGTGACGGTTGCCTTGAATAGTTAGCTAGTTCGAGCCCGCTGTCGCGATAGTCCTGTTAGGTGTCTGGAAGCCAGAGTGAATCATGGTCCTAGAGGCGTGTTCGGTGTACGCAGGTATCTGAAAATGCTGCGGATTGCCTCCATGTTGCGTAAAGATTGGTGGCAGTGATGGTGGGGGGGGTTCGAAACGGAGAACTTCTCTACCAGCAAATCGCGTTGCCCGAGCGGCTGGAACCTGTTTCTTGTGAAGAGTCAGTTGCACGAGTTGATCAGCATGAGCTCTGGTGCCCCGGACTTCTCCGCCTTTGGGACTAAATTGCTTCAGTGAGGACGCGGTCACACTGGTGCCCAGGACGTTTTCCTTCAAGGTTGGGTTCAGCGAGCATTTCTCGTAGCATGCAACTGCACGATGCAGTCACGTTCCCCATCCCAAACGGTGCGCTCAGTGGGGATGGATGGTGTGTGTAGTGAATGAAGGTCACCGGCGCAGAGCGTTTTTTCTAGCATGTTTGGTCGCTGCAAAAGACGAGGCTTTCGCAGCTGCGAAGAACTGTCCACAAGAGCAGCAGTGTATGCAGTCCACAGTAAGCGGGATTGAGGTCAACTGTGCCAACGCTGAAGAAGGTTGCCAGGCGAATAGGATTCCAATGTGGGGGGAGTTTGTGCTGTAAGAAACGCAATTGATTTAGATAGGAGAGTTGGTTGTTGGTGCCATCCTTTCGGCACAATCAGGCGCCCAGGAGTGTTGCGAGGTGAAGGCCTGCCCATCTCGATCCTTCGCTGTGGTCCGTTCGTTGCGTTTGTGTAGACCGAGCACTTGGCGTGGTGTTGGAAGAGTCCCAGAGAGGCGTCGCAAGCGCGGTTGATTGTAGGAAACGTTCGTTCGTGGCTGCTAGTTGCCAGAAGTGGTTGTGAATAGTCGACAACAGAATGACGCATGTCATGCGAGATGCCTGGTGAAGTGTGCCCCACGTGGATGGGACGAGTGAACCTCTGGTACCGTAAATAATGAAGCGCTCAAGGGGTAGGACCGAAAAACACGCTGTGTTCGATGGTGTGATATACGACAGAGAGAGGTAGAGATTCATTTCATTGATGCGATGCGGTGCTCGCGGCAAAAGTGGACGGTAGAGCTTCCCTTAGATCACGTGTGAAAATTCGAATGCCTCAAGCACCCGCCCATGAAAAGAGGGAGCGGGGGGAGGAGATACAGCCGGGCGGGTAGGACGCATGATCGCCCGCTGCCTGCTGCAAAACAAGCGATTCACTCTTGCCCGTGTAGAGCGTGTCTGCTGAATCAATCAAGGTGGTTGTCGACATACGTCGAAATACCGAAATATTACCAGACAAGACTGTCATAATTGTTTCTCGTTGATGAGCAGACAGCGTAAGTCAATTGTTGGAGTCGCGATAATAAACCAGAGAACCACGACCTACTGCAAAGGAGCTTCTGCGCGGAACGGAACGAAAATGTACGGTACGAGGCTAGACAATGTAAAATGTATGCATGCAAGCGGTATCATGTGTGTGTCTGGTGTGGTGTGGGACGCAACCGACTACGGCTGCAGTCCTGCAGCAGAAGCCGCACGTGGATATTTCTCTCTCTCTTGCACTCGCTTATTAAACTCGCCGTGGTTTTAGCTTCGTCTGGTTTCGGTGGTGACAACTAGCAAGCCTGCTGGGGCAGGATGCCCGGGCTATATCTCAACGACCTGATTCCAACAGTTCACACCCAACTGCTCTGAAATCAATCTATCCGGAGGCGTGGTCCGCGCTATTTTCGCATACTGCTGCACGCCGGAGAATCAAAAGTTTTTGATTGTTGTTGTTGTTGCTGTTGTTGTTGTTGTTGTTGTTGTTGTTGTTGTTGTTGCCGTGTTGTTGTTCTCTTCACATTAAAAACCGTTCCGATCTCTCTCTACCCAGTACCTTCGTATTATGTCCGTACTGACCCAACACTCGACGCGGTCGATTCCCGTGGTCACAGGTTAACTTACCCTAAAAAGGTACACTCAAATAGATGCACCTGAATGAAAAATATTCGATGCACGCAGGGGGACGCACTAGGCCATGCACCACTTGGAAGTGCGCCATTACAGACCTGCACAACAAGCACCGTTTAACGCCCAAGAGCGACCTAGGCCTACTCCAAGCACCACCAACAACCTACACAGCAGTAATGGGGTGCATACAACTTCTTGGTCGGGGAATTGGATACGGTAATGTTTTGGGTATTACATAATAGGAGGACGAACCAAGAATGCATACCACTTAAATTATGTCTGGTTGGTTGCTGTGGTCCGAAATTCCCCGCCCCGGTGGATCTTTCAGTTTGGGCCCTTGCCGGTCGTATCTGTGTGCATAGTGCATACCCCTGCCTCTTGCGAGGGAGCCCTCCCTTCCTTGTGGTTCAACCCGATGTGGCGTTTTTATATCATTGAGATGTGACATGCTGCATAGATGTTGTTCATCAGTTCGTGAAGAAGCAGATACATGGAGCACACAACAACGAGGAAACGGAGAAGAATGCGAGGAACACTGCGGAACGAACATCGACGGAGCGAAAAATAAATAATTCCGTCGAGAAAGAACCAGAATTCAACCAAGATGATGAGATGGACGCGATGACGATCCACCGGCCGGTGAACGGCCAGAATTATTTGTCGCCGGCCTTTCCCCAGAGGGAGCTTCTTCACTCTTCTTCACTCGCACGACATCACACAACCACCATACGTACCACATCAACCATACCAACCTCGCCAACCCAAGTCCCGGGCCGAGACCTGTGGGGGCTGCCATGAGAGGATCCCGCGGGACCCGGCTCGCGTGGCTGGCTCTTCTTGCGCAAAGAGGTATGCATAGCAAGCACGCGCGTGCGTGTACAGGAGTCGTAAAGCCGCTCTCGGCGGCAGATATGTACGTAGATGTTGCCGTGTGTCCTCTCTCTTTTCTTCAATCTGTAAATGGCGGTTGCCTCAGTACCCTTTGCTTGGAGGGAGATTTTTTCGTGCCCACCATAAGAGAGGGGCATGGGCATCCAGGATGGAGAAGCCTTGACGCAATGCAATCAGCGGCTCACCTCTAGACTTGCCGACGCTCGACTTGTTGTGCTGTCGCACCCGCGCACGAAAGGGAGTCGAGTCTCGCCCACCCGCCCTTGTAGCAGGTTTTGAGATCGGATCCACCTCTCTGTGTTTTGCGGTGTTCTTTCTCCATGTCTTTTCTGGTGCGCTGATGACCCGTGCGCTTACCACAGAGACAGGGCGCCGAAGACGTCGATCGCGATAGCAATGCCGTAGGCCGTCGCTCCTGTCCCTGCTACCCAGTATGCCATGCTGTTGCGTTTTTTTGTCCACCTCGTCTGTCTGCGCGTTAGACTTTTTGAAAATCGAAATTACCCCACAGATCATCAAAGGCTTTTCAGGTATTCCAGGGTGGGCATGTACGTGGATGATACTTCCAAGACAAAAAACATTACGCACACGTGCGCGCTCCGCGTACATGGTCTTGGAAGGGCGGGCTAGAGTATGGCTGTTCACTGTTCGAAGAAATGGGCAAACAAGTGCGGACAGAGAGGCCACGAGTGACGGGAGACAAAACAAAAAGATGTGTAGATTTTACCCGCTACTTGTACACTACAGCAGCGTGTGTAGCAGCAGCAGCAGCAGCAGCACAGCTGAGAGGAACGGCAGGATCCCGTGGCGATGAAAGGATCTGATCTGCAGCACAACGATAGGTTGTCAAGGTAGGCGTGGTGTCGAACAGAACCCGCGTCGCGTGTCTCCACTCCCTCCCCCTCTCTCCTCTCCCAGCGATCAATACTCTGTGCCGGGTGCCGGAGCAGTTGGTCTTGGAAGCCATTTTTCTGATTTTTTTCTGCTCTTGTCTTCTTCCGTACAGAACGGAGTCGCTTTTTTTGTTTCTTGTGTACCTCGCCTCTCCCCGCCTGTATACCTGTGGGGGTTCAATTTTCGATTTTCGGTACTGGTAAACACAACGTTATCACTGAACTCTGGTCTTTCTGGTTGATGGAAGGCTCACACCCTGCTCACACAGCAGCTGCCATGCATTGCTGTCCTCCCCCTCAAACCCGACTTCATCGGCAGCACATGAGGATCCACAATCTCTGTCACCTGTCACACACACACGACGAATCCATCTCTGTCAGGGCAGCTTTTGGTGTTTATCCGCATGTTCAACGACGAACGTCTGAAGAATCTGTTCAGCAGATAGAGAGTTGTTGTTGTTGTTGTTGTTGTTGTCTTGACATTAAAATAGAGTCCAAAAGCCCAACAAATCATCTTCCCCACCTGCATACCGGGTGGCCTGAATTTCGACCGCGACGCTCGTCGCCTTTTCATCCGACCTCTGCGGCAGACACGATAGAGGGAGGACCGGTCCAGGGGCTGCGGTAGTATAATCCGGAAGCCGTCTTTCTGAGAAACTAGACCACTGTGTGGATGTACATACACATATCTCTATCTACTTGAAGTATGTAGATTAGGATCGATAGGGCCACCAGTCTTTAGTGGCCAACAATGGCCACTGACTTGATGATTACCATCAGTGCAAAATACCATATCGTGAAGGTTCTTCATGTGGATTTAGGAAGGAAGGACGCGATATTTCTCCCGCTAGACGACCAACCGCCTGTCTGTTTTTTTTGTGACTCCGGCTCCACCGGAGAGACTTAATTTATTTATATGCATACGTGAAAGGAATGCGCCACTCACAGCAGCAATACGATGATAGGCGCCAGGTTCTGGAAGAGAATATTCACACGGGTTATAGGCATAGACTATATTCATTCGTGTCTTTGCAAGTGACTGATCACATGATGATGCCACTCACGACAACGAGAAGTTATTGCAAACAACACGCACGCACCAATGAGGCCTTGAGTCACAAATCGAACTGTACTTGGCATTGGCAGTACAGTACGTTCTCGTCTGTCTGTGAAAAAGGCGATCAACCACTGAATGAAGAACGTTACGAAGTGCGAAAGAAAAGCAAACCCGTCTCCGGGGCATTTTTCATGTCCAAATGAAAAGACAATGACTTATTAAAGTGTCCGAGGACAGGCGCCTCTCATCCAGACCATATACGCTCAATTTCTCCAACTGCACTGTACAACATTTCTTCTCGCTTTCCCGAGACTTGGCTTATATATACATTAACCCTGTGGCGCGGCCCAACAACGACTAAAAAACTTTAGAGGTGGTGGCGCTCACGCAAATTAAATGCATTTCGAAACGTTTGAGCCTCCCAAGTCTGGCGTACAACAGTAGTCGCGTGTTGCAAGAGGATGGGCAACAGCTTTTGAGAGTTGCAGGTTATAGCATTGGAGAGGTGGAGGGAAGAAGAGCAAATAAAATCAACGGGACCCCACTACTCCCGGTTCGGCGTTGTTAGGAAAAAAATCATTTTGAGGGAGCTGCCAGTCCATTCATGCCCAATGCCATGCCCTTGTCCACCGACGACGTCAGTAGTGACAGGCGCGGAGATTGGGAATGGTCGACATTGTGCATTTCTTTCACACTGTACTACTAGTAACGGTAGGCTGCCACGACATCTGTAGCGCTGTTGTGTGCGCGTTTTCCCTGTATTTAGTAATCACTCCTCTTCGTTATGTGCAATTGAAGAGACAACCCTCGCACGCAGCAAAAAAAGTTACAATGCAGAGTCAGGGGTGTTGTTGATTTCATCGACTCCCTACCCCCCGTTCCCTTGCCGCCGTCTGCCAAGCAGCTCACGCCGCGTCTTCGTCATCGAGCGTATCGGTAGCTTGCAGCCTGGAGAGTCTCTCCGAGGATGACCGGGAATCAATGCAACAGCACCGCAGGGGCCTCTTCATCGACCCCGATTGTGGGAAGTCAGGTGACGAAGACTGACAAAGGCCACTACTGCCAAAAACAATGTGACGCACATACCCGATGATACCGATACCACCAGTAAATCCCTGGATTCCACGGGTGAACACCGGGCGGTAAACACCCCCCACGGAGATGATTGAGCTTCGATACGCTGATGGTGGTGTTGCGCGTCTGGCATGAAATTGGCCAATAACAATGGCCGTCGTCGTAGAGACGACTATCCTCAAGTCGGGGAGCAATTCGGCATATATTACAGTTTGAGAGGAGGGTGGTTGGGATAGGCCAATTTAGGTAGATGTTTCCTCAGACGGAGATTACCAATAGTTCGGGCTGTATGCGACGGAAATCTGACAGACCCTCCGGCGTTTTTCGCGCCACGCACATGGTTGCTCCGGACGAGGTAGACTGGGGGCAGGAGAAGAAGAGGAACGATTGCAACATGTTCAACCTCGGGACCAACTGCCGCCGTTGCTTCAACACCTGCGACGCTGCACTGACCTTCGCCTACGAGTTCCTCCTTACGGTGAGAAGAATACCAAGTTTTTCTAATGTTGCTGTCGCTGTTGCTGTTGCTGCTTCATTTTTTCTAGTGGTCTTGTTGTTGCTGCTTCCGCGGCAATGTTTGTTGTTCTTGCTGAATTTTTTGTTTTCATATATTTGACGCATGACATATATAATCTTCACATTGTGGCAAGCAGCAACCATGCCAAGAGTGCCAACAAGGGTCTCACAACGTTTACCACATCCATCCCTAGGGAATCAGATTTCACACCATCAGTCAGTATGAGAGAAAGCCTCCGTCCAGCCGTCACACTTGGCAGGACATGCGCGGGGATTCCCTCACCGTTTTTTCGCCGACAGTCCCGAAACTTTAACGACCTCCTTCGTACCTTCCCTCCGCTACCCCAAAGATGGCGCTGTTCTCTCGACGGTGAGATACATCTTGCATACCCGTTGACGTCGATGCTGCGAGAGCGTGAAAAAATCTATCCGCTGTCGACTCGCGAGTAAATTGAAACCCTTGGCTTCCTGCACACGCCACGCGTAGAAATACCGGGCCCGGTTTCTACCCTGATCGCCACTCCTTGGGGCCGAGAGCTCAAAGCAAACCTCCATTGCAAAACCCCTTGACATTGCCCCTCGCTCCCCGCCGCTGACACCCGAACTAACCCATCCGCGCCCCCCCGCCTTCCAACTCACTTGCGCCCATTGCAGGACGCCGAGATCGCCTTCTGTCCCGGAAGCGGCATCACCTCGATCGATGACTGTGTGAACAGCGAGAGTCAACGCGCCCTGACCAACAACGGCGAGGGGCTGGGCGGTGATGCCTTTGATCCCATGTACGGCTGGGAGCCCACACCGGCGCCCACATCCGTGTCCTACCACTTCGACTTCGACGAGCCAACGCCGACGCCGGTGATGTTGATGGAAACACTGCAGCCGGTCGACGCCCGCCGTCCATGGCCTCGCCACCCTGAAGCAACACCGGTACCGACATCCCTGTCCATCGACTTCGACTCCGACTACCCAACGCCGACACCGGTGACGGACGGCCCGCAGCCGGTCGACGCCCGCCGTCCCTGGCCTCGTCACCCCGATTCGACACCGGTACCGACATACCTTTCCTTCGACTTCGACTCCGACTACCCAACGCCGGCACCGGTGATGGACAGCCAGCACCCGGTCGACGGCCGCCGCCCCCGGCCTCGCCACCCTGAAGTAACACCGGCACCGACATATCTGTCCTTCGACTTTGACTTCGACTACCCAACGCCGGCACCCGTGACAGAGGACCCGAAGCCGGTCGACGGCCGCCGCCCCCGGCCTCGCCACCCTGAAGCAACACCGGTACCGACATCCCTGTCCTTCGACTTCGACCCCGACTACCCAACGCCGGCACCGGTGATGGACAGCCAGCACCCGGTCGACGGCCGCCGCCCCCGGCCTCGCCACCCTGAAACAACACCGGTACCGACATACCTGTCCTTCGACTTCGACTCCGACTACCCAACGTCGGCACCGGTGATGGAGGGCCCGCAGCCGGTCGACGGCCGCCGTCCCCGGCCTCGCCACCCTGAAGCAATACCGGTACCGACATATCTGTCCTTCGACTTCGACCCCGACTACCCAACGCCGGCACCCGTGACACAGGGCCCGCAGCCGGTCGACGGCCGCCGTCCATGGCCTCACCACCCTGAAGCAGCACCGGTACCGACATACCTGTCCTTTGACTTCGACTTCGACATGACAACGCCAACACCAGTGATGGAGGGCCCGAAGCCGGTCGACGGCCGCCGTCCCCGGCCTCGCCACCCTGAAGCAACACCGGTACCGACATCCCTGTCCTTCGACTTCGACCCCGACTACCCAACGCCGGCACCGGTGACGGAGGGCCCGCAGCCGGTCGACGGCCGCCGTCCATGGCCTCACCACCCTGAAGCAACACCGGCGCCGACATACCTGTCCTTCGACTTCGACCCCGACTACCCAACGCCGACACCGGTGGCACAGGGCCCGCAGCCGGTCGACGGCCGCCGTCCCCGGCATCGCCACCCTGAAGCAACACCGGCGCCGACATACCTGTCCTTCGACTTCGACCCCGACTACCCAACGCCGACACCGGTTGCAGAGGGCCCGCAGCCGGTCGACGGCCGCCGTCCCCGGCCTCACCACCCTGAAGCAACACCGGTACCGACATACCTGTCCTTCGACTTCGACTTCGACATGACAACGCCAACACCGGTGATGGAGGGCCCGGAGCCGGTCGACGGCCGCCGTCCCCGGCCTCGCCACCCTGAAGCAACACCGGTGCCGACATACCTGTCCTTCGACTTCGACCCCGACTACCCAACGCCGGCACCGGTCACGGACGGCCCGCAGCCGGTCGACGGCCGCCGTCCCCGGCCTCGCCACCCTGAAGCAACACCGGTGCCGACATACCTTTCCTTCGACTTCGACCCCGACTACCCAACGCCGGCACCGGTGATGGAGGGCCCGAAGCCGGTCGACGGCCGCCGTCCCCGGCCTCGACACCCTGAAGCAACACCGGTACCGACATACCTGTCCTTCGACTTCGACCCCGACTACGCAACGCCGGCACCGGTGACACAGGGCCCGCAGCCGGTCGACGGCCGCCGTCCCCGGCCTCGCCACCCTGAAACAACACCGGTACCGGCATATCTGTCCTTCGACTTCGACCCCGACTACCCAACGCCGTCACCGGTGACAGAGGGCCCGCAGCCGGTCGACGGCCGCCGTCCCCGGCCTCGCCACCCTGAAGCAACACCGGCGCCGATATACCTGTCCTTCGACTTCGACCCCGACTACCCAACGCCGTCACCGGTGATGGAGGACCTGAAGCCGGTCGACGGCCGCCGTCCCTGGCCTCGACACCCTGAAGCAACACCGGTACCGGCATACCTGTCCTTCGACTTCGACTTCGACTACCCAACGCCATCACCGGTTACAGAGGGCCCGCAGCCGGTCGACGGCCGCCGTCCCCGGCCTCGACACCCTGAAGAAACACCGGTGCCAACATATCTGTCTTTCGACTTCGACCCCGACTACCCAACGCCGGCACCGGTGATGGAGGACCCGAAGCCGGTCGACGGCCGCCGCCCCCGGCCTCGCCACCCTGAAGCAACACCGGTGCCGACATACCTGTCCTTCGACTTCAACCCCGACTACCCAACGCCGACACCGGTGATGGAGGACCCGAAGCCGGTCGACGGCCGCCGTCCCTGGCCTCGACACCCTAATACAACACCGGCGCCGACATCCCTGTCCTTCGACTTCGACTCCGACTACCCAACGCCGTCACCGGTGACAGAGGGCCCGCAGCCGGTCGACGGCCACCGTCCCCGGCCTCGACAGCCTGAACCAACACCGGCGCCGACATCCCTGTCCTTCGACTTCGACTCCGACTACCCAACGCCGTCACCGGTGACAGAGGGCCCGCAGCCGGTCGACGGCCGTCGTCCCCGGCCTCGACACCCTGAAGAAACACCGGTGCCAACATATCTGTCCTTTAACTTCGACCCCGACTACCCAACGCCGACACCCGTGACAGAGGACCCGCAGCCGGTCGACGGCCGCCGTCCCCGGCCTCACCACCCTGAAGCAACACCGGTACCGACATATCTGTCCTTCGACTTCGACCCCGACTACCCAACGCCGACCCCGTTGACGGGGGGGCCGCAGCTGGTCGACGGCCACCGGCCCCGGCCTCGCCACCCTGAAGCAACACCGGTACCGGCATACCTTTCTTTCAACTTCGACCCCGACTACCCAACGCCGGCACCTGTGACGGACGGCCCGCAGCCGGTCGACGTCCGCCGTCCCCGGCCTCGCCACCCTGAAGGAACGGCGGAGCCGACATACCTGTCCTTCGACTTCGACCCCGACTACCCAACGCCGGCACCGGTGACGGAGGGGCCGCAGCCGGTCGACGGCCACCGGCCCCGGCCTCGCCACCCTGAAGCAACACCGGTACCGGCATACCTTTCTTTCAACTTCGACCCCGACTACCCAACGCCGGCACCGGTAACAGAGGGCCCGCAGCCGGTCGACGTCCGCCGTCCCCGGCCTCGCCACCCTGAAGGAACGACGGAGCCGACATCCCTGTCCTTCGACTTCGACTTCGACCCCGACTACCCAACGCCGGCACCGGTGACGGAGGGCCCGAAGCCGGTCGACGGCCGCCGTCCCCGTCCTCGTTACCCCGGTTCGACACCGGCACCGACGTCCCTGCAATACCACTTCGGCCCCGACTACCCAACGCCGGCACCGGTGACAGAGGGCCCGCAGCCGGTCGACGGCCACCGTCCCCGGCCTCGCCACCCTGAAACAACACCGGCGCCGACATACCTGTCCTTCGACTACGACCCCGACTACCCAACGCCGGCACCGGTGACGGAGGGGCCGCAGCCGGTCGACGGCCACCGGCCCCGGCCTCGCCACCCTGAAGCAACACCGGTACCGGCATACCTTTCTTTCAACTTCGACCCCGACTACCCAACGCCGGCACCGGTAACAGAGGGCCCGCAGCCGGTCGACGTCCGCCGTCCCCGGCCTCGCCACCCTGAAGGAACGGCGGAGCCGACATACCTGTCCTCCGACTTCGACCCCGACTACCCAACGCCGGCACCGGTGACGGAGGGCCCGAAGCCGGTCGACGGCCGCCGTCCCCGGCCTCGCCAACCTGAAGCAACACCGGTACCGACATACCTGTCTTTCAACTTCAACCCCGACTACCCAACGCCGGCACCGGCAACAGAGGGCCCGCAGCCGGTCGACGGCCGCCGTCCCCGACCTCGCCACCCCGAAGGGACACCGGCGCCGACATCCCTGTCCTTCGACTACGACGACCTAACCCCGGCGCCGCAGTCTGAAGGCCGGCAGCCTGTGTTCACTCCTGGGCAGCCATCACCGCCAACCCCCAGCACGGCTCCGAGCTCACGGTCACCGACTGCGCCAGTGGAAGAGACGACGCCGGCTCCGGCTTCATCCGGGAGGCACCAGTCGCCTTCTCCGGCGGTGGCACCGTCCCCGATCTCCACAGCCCGCGACGCTTCACCATCGCCAGCTACTATTCTCACCCCGAGCCATGACCCTTCCCACGACGCCACGCTGACTCCCGCTGGAGGCAAGAACCAGGCGCCGTCACCCACGGACGCGCCTCGAACAGACCCTGCCGCCGTACCAACGTCGACTGCCGATCCTCCGGCCGCCGCCCCCGTCGCCGCCGCCCCCGTCGCCGCCGCCTCTACTCGCCCAACGAGCTCCGGTAGACATGAATAG